CAAAGCCAGCCCTGGCAGGAAAGCCCAGGAGACTCTTAGCTCCAATTAACCACCAGAAAACTGGAAGTGGCGCTGTGGGTCCAGTGGTAGAGAGCTTGCCTTGAGCTAAAGAGTTCAGGGACAGCACTCAGGCCCAGAGCTCAAGCCCCACAACCCACAAGAAAAAAAAAAAAAAAGCTAAGGGACAGTGTACAGGCCCTGAGTTCAAGCCCTGTTAAATAGGCACAAAACAAAACATAGAAACCAAAACTGACCAAACAAAACAAACCAACCAGGGGGCCCGGGGACAGGGACCAGACAGTAAGGAACTGGGGGTCTGATCCTAACTTGTCAGTGGGTGTTGACTTGTCACAGAGCAATCCTGTGTTTATTCATGGAGATCTCATAGGAATCCCAAGACTTGGCTTTGCCTCAAATGGCACAATGGGGAAGGGGGGTGTCTAAGTCCCAGCCCAAGGGTTAAACTGGGCAGAGGAAGATCCTGGCACAAGGCAAAAATCATCCTTAGCAATAAGTATCAATTAAGGCAACAATAATCGAGCACCTATGAGGGCCAGGCTGTTCAGGGAGCTCATTGGTTGTGCAGTTGGGTAGGAAGGGGGCGGGGCTGGTTTTATGCCAAACAAGAGGTTCTAAATTCGGGTCTGGGCCCTCTACACTGGAGGGGTGCCTGTAGCCCCCTTTTTGCTTTGGATATTTTCCACACAGGGTTCTTGCTTTTGGCCCAGGAGGCTTACTTGTGCTCCCCATTGCCCATCCATGCTTCTCCAGATCCCAACCTTCTGAGCAGCCAGGGTTCCAGGTTGTGGGCACCAGCAGCAGCACCCTGGCTGACAAATTCTTAATATAGGTTGTGTGGGCGCCCTCTGGTCCCACCTTTCTCAGGGCCCCAGTCACCCCCTCCCTGGCTACCCTGGATCTTGGGTGGTGTCAGGAGTTAAGCCAGCCAGGGGCAGTCACCTCCCTTTGGGTCTATTTGGAGCATCGGACACCTTAATTATAGGCCCTGGAGTTCCTTGGGGGCGTGCCAGGGAGGCTCAAGACCCGGACGGAAGCACCCGCTCCGGGGGCGACCGGAGATCCAGGGCCGCCCCCAGGTGCACCTGGTCGCCAGGGCACCTCCACCCGGGGTCTCCCGACCGCCGCCCTGCTCTGGCTTCTTCCTCCGGAGTGGGGGTGGGAGTGGGGGTGGGGGAGGAACGGGGCCCTCCGGCTGGTCTGGCTGGCCCACAGGCTCCCAGGATGGTCTCGGGGCCGGGCGAGGGCGGGGATGCCCCCGGGGCGCCCGCAGCGCCGCGCCCACGCGCTCGGGCAGAGGCCGCCCACGCCTCCTCGGTCTCCTAAGTATATTTAGACTCATTATCAAATGTTTGCAGTGAACCGTGTGAACCGCCTAATAGCGGCTGGATGTGAAACTCGATTCCTAGCCAGAAAAAAAAAAAAAAAAGCAAAGCATGTGACACTCTCAGCAGCCGGGGATCACCGCCGCCGGACGCACGGGACCGGGAGCGGGCGGAACAGGTGCTGGGGCCGCCGCCCCCTCCACCAGCTCCTCGGGACGGGGGGGGGCCTTCTGGTCCCTGAGCCCCATCGCCTCACGTACCCTCCTTTTTCTCCAGGGGTTGAAAGAAGCACTTAAGATATTAAGGGGTTGATCCACGTCCAAGCCTGTGGCCGCTGGGCTAAGTCCGTCCTACCGGGTCTCAATTTCCAGTTCTCGAAAGGCGGAGCCTTGGGGGGCGCTCCTCCCCCACCTCTCTGTCTCTCTCTGTGTTTCCTGAGGACCCGAGAATATGGTGTTGGGACACGGTGAAGGGGGGGGGTGTCTTTGTCCCAAGCCAGGGCTCCCGGGAACCCCAGGCTGCTGGCGCTCCGAGGCGCAAGTTACCACTCTCCCTGGGCCGCTGTTGTTGTGGTCGCTATGACGACGGGTCGCGGTTTTATTTTTAATAGCGGCCGGCGGTGAGGTGGGGGGGAGAGGGGGGGGACAGGCCTGATCCGTGCTCCTGCGTTTGGGAGGATGCTGCCAGGCCCCGCCTCGCTGTGTCCCCCCCCTCCTCCAAATCAGGGCACCTCCTCCCATGTGGTCCCCAGATCTCCTCTAGCTCTGCCCTGCACTCGTGTACTCGTGGATCAGGAAGGGGAGCGGAGAGAAGCACTGATCTAGATGGGGACCCCCCCCCCAGGAATCAGCAGCCTCCATGGGTGGAGTGGGTGGAGAGTGAGGATCCCCTCGGCCATGCTGGGAGACAGACAACTCACTGTCACTCCGAGTCCTCGAGCCTCACCCTCTCTGCCCGAGAGGTGCCCAGGGGCTCTGCGGGATCAGATGCGCACAACTCAGGACTGAAAGGCGAGGGCCGGACCCAGGTCTAGCCGGCTGTGACCTGAGGATGTGCGCTGGGCCACCTTCCAGAAACCATCGGTGTTTCTCCCTCCGCGGCGGAACAGGCGCTTCTGACCGTTTCCAAGTTTTCCCTTTTCGGTGTTGGTCCTCCTCACCACCGGGAGGGGCCGAGCAGGGACGTGCGGGTGGGGCACGGGGCGTAGAGGCAGGCAGTGGAGAGCTGCGGGGAGGCCCCGCCCCCATAAATTAGGAGTGGGGGGCGCCCCCTCCCCAGCGTGCCTCAACTAGGCCTTTGAAATGCAGGAACCCGCCCAGCCCAGCAGGGGATGAAAAGTCCCCTCCAGGTGGCACCTCGGTCTGGGAGTGAGGGCGACCGCGGCGGGGGATGGGGGTGGGGAGGTGGGACGGGGGAGTGGGGGCTGGGGCGGGTGACATTTTCCTCGGAGGTCCACTCACCCTTAAGGTGTCTCCTAGTCTCCAAGGGCCCAGGCGTTTCTAGCTTTGCGGTCCGCAAGGCCCGACAGCCCCTCTATCCCAGATACCAGAGCTGGGGCCTGGAGGGGAGGCACTGGCAGGCATCCGCCCGTGAGTCGGGGTCCAATCTTCCAGCATCCGGGCGCACCCACTCGGCCGCCGCGCAGGAGCCGTCCAGCCCTGCCCAGCCCACGGTCGACGCGCGTCGCTCCCCCGCGGCGCGCTCGGTGCAGCGCCTTGGCCGGAGGTGGCGCTCTGTGCGCCCGCGGATCCAGACGCAGAACCCAGGGGTTCACCAGTGGCTCCTTTCTCTTCCTTTCCTTCCACCCTCTCAATCCCGATCTCGGTGCTGCCTCGCTTTCGGAAAGGGAGTGGGAGACTTGGGGAGGAAGGGAAGGGGCAGCCAGAGTGTCAAGGTCAAGGATAAAACAGGTTGCTGCAATCTCCTCCCCAACCTTGTTCCCACCTCGAAATGTGGGTAGAGGTTCCTCATTCAGGTGCCCCAGGCTTCGGACCTTGGGCAGGGGCGCGTGGCAGCCGCCAGGTGAGTGCCCTAGACGCGCCCCTAAATCCGCCCCACCTTTCTCCAGAGACTCACTCCCCCTCCTTTTATGGAGAAGGGAAAGCCCGAGCCTGGGATCCAAACTGTGGAAAGCGGCCCGAGCTCCCGGGCGGGGGCCGGTGGCGGCTCTCATGCCCTTTTTGGCGCAGTAGCTCTGGGCGCTGCCCTCGGCCGCCGCTGGGGCCCGACAGAGGCGAGCCGGCGACGGCGGTGCTCGTGCGGCGGCCTCCTCCCCTCCCCGCCCGGTGCCGCAGGATTGCAGCTGGCACCGGAGGGTGGGCAAGCTCGAGGGAGGGGCGCGCGGGAAGCCCCGGCGTCTGGGATCGGAGCCGGGCGCGAGGTGTTGATGGATTTAGCTGCCTGCGTGAGCGCGTGTGTCCTCACTGCAGTGGCGGTGGCCGCCGGGCCCTGCCCGGCCCGCACGATCCCCGCGCGCTTCCGAGGTGCGGGTCCGGGGCCCGGAACCTGAGGGAGGCGGGAG